TTAAATAGGTAATATAGAAAAGTTACACATGTAACCAATTGTACACTCTCCTGTAGTAGTTCATTGAACCACAATACTAACAAGTGATTAATAAAAGTCAAAAGACCAAAAAGGTCACCTTAATACCAAAAAAAAAGAAATCTTAAGATTTACAATAAATCATTCGTCAAGATGCTTCAAAATTAGCTCATTATCAATGATTTCTAGGTTTATTATTCCATTACACAATATCACTAATATAGGGCACAGATTTGCAATAATTGTAGCCATATGCACTGCCCAAGATGTGCTAATAGTATCAAGTTGCTGTAAAATATAGACATTATGGTAATCATCAACATTTAACATGAAAGTATTTTCCAACTAACTTTCAAGAATTTTTTCTACATATTTTCCATATGCCTCTGAACATTGTCTTTTCTTATAGTTTACAGCCCTCGCTGTTGTAGTTATTTCGATACCTGCTAAGATATTTAAATCTTCATTACTTATACTTACAGAATCTAAATAGTATGCTAAATCGAACTTAAAAGAGTTAATTTTCAAATTATTTAAAGATGTAAGAAGATAGCACAAAAATACCATTAATTTTTTTATATATCCTATTGTCTTCTTACAATGTTTAAATGACCAAGCTAGCAAATAAAGTTGATCGAAAAAATCTTTCAAACTTAAATCAACCTGTAGAAGTAATTCTCGCATTTCATTGAATAAATATATAGGTTTTTCTTTTTGCACATATTTTCTCTCATAAAAGATCCTTACCATTGCCTTTATAACTCCAACAAGGTTAATCATACATATCTTCTTCTTATTAATAGCATCTAACTTCTCAGTGATGACATTTATATCCTCTTTATCAGTACTTTCTAATTCTTCATTCATTACGTTTTTCTGAATTATAACATCAATTTTCTTTCTAATTATAGCATCTTCATTCTTATATACGAATTCTACCTCTTCAACAACTTGAATTTCTTTCACTTCTTCTCTTGTAACTTCTATTTCATTCTCTGCTTCAACTGTGACTCTTACTCATTTAGTACTTTTTTTTTAATTCTTTGTAATAGATTTTCTACTAAATCCATATAACATTTATGACATAAAAGAATACTATCTTTTTACATTACCTTTATTAAACCGTTTCTTTCAGCCTGTCTCCATTTTTCATTTTTTAACAAACGAAATTTTGATTCAGTAGCTCTGCATTCTTTGCATTGCTTGCTAATTTTGTCAGACATATTGAATATGAAGGCT